CTTAACTTTAAAATTATTAAAAATTCTTACAAAAATTTATTAGGACAGATAGTACTAGATTTCCTCTAGTTTCATATCCAGACCTTACACAGCGTGCGGGAAGATCTCTCCTCATCTCTTGTGCCCGCTGATCTCAGGTATGTGTCTTTCTTTCTAGTCTTTTCCTTTCCTTTGTTTTCTCTCTTTGTGATACTGTGAAATGATATACTCATCCTTCCACGTACCACGGCCACTCACCCCATCTCATGCCCACTGATCTCAGCCCCAGATTAGCTTATCATTGATTGTGATGAGTTTTCCTAAAAATTCTTGCTCATCTCATGACACAGCCGCAGCAAGCTGGTGAGAATTACAATCAATACCACTTAGGGTTTCTCATATCATTCCTTAAAACAACACTGGATTGGTTTGATTCAACCACAACCTTGTCAAGATATTGGTTCAATTATCCATTCTGCTCTAGATTGCTCCAATCATCATCACCTGCTTGCTCTCCTTCCTCAAGGTCAAGAACTCTCAAGACCTCAAAGGTATCTCCTCAAGACCTTAAAGTAAAGTCCACTTGAGAACTCCTGATTGATTCCAAATCAACTCTGACTCTAACTCCTCACCTCACTTCTCAAAGACTGAATCTCAGCATTCAAGACAGTTCTCAGGCACTCGCTTACTATCTTTTCTCAACGTTTCTCAACATTCTGCTTGTCGACTCTCTCTCTCGTCCGTCTCCTTTCCTCTTCTCTTGTTCTATGTTGTGTGTTCTGTGTTTGATGAGGAAAAACTGATTGTGTCTCTTATTTCACCTTATCTTGTTTGTTTCTTCTTTTTCTCTGCTCTTCTTATTATCTCGCTCTAGTCTTCCAATTCAAAGTCCTCATTACTTTTACAATTCTACATCTCCATTAGTGGTACAATCTATTCTCTCTATTTCTCTCTTTATCTTTCTCTTTTTGCTTTCTAACTTCTGTTCATCTCTTCTGACCTTCTCTTGTTTTTCTTCAGTCTGGTTTTTGTTTTTGGCAATTCAATCGTAATTTTCTCATATTGCTACCTCTGAACAAACAAAAATTGCATCATTTTTCCAACCTGTCAATTCCAAATGATTTTGGCTATTTTCCTCTCAGTTCCTATGTTTACCTTTGTTTCCTCAATGCATGTAATGTCTTAAGTGTTTGTTGAAGAAATTATGACCGGAGAAGGGAAATTTTTGGAGGAGATAATTTTTGGACAACAAGATTGAATTTTGTTGGAACGGCTCAAAGGGTCGCAAAATGAAGGAGAGAACCGATGATGTTTTACTTAGAGGAGACTAGGCGTTAAGTAGTCTACATACAAGAGGTTAAACATGTGGGTGAGAGTAAAATGAAATAGAGAAATGAATAAAAATTTAACACATGCATGAAAAGATGACAGGAGCAAATACTCAATGATAAAGACTAGACCCAGGTTCGAAGACTACAGGGATTGCAGCACTAGACAATGAGAAAATGTGCCACTCAGAAACTTACAAGACATGATAAAATTAATAATTTTTTTTTTTCATCTAAACATTATTAAATCAGAAAGGGGAGATAGATAGATTTTTTAGGGATGAGGAGAAGGAGACAAAATTCCAACATTTGTGATGTTTTGTTGAAGCTTTAAAAACATAATATTTAGCAATACAAGTTTACATCTCAGCAAGCAGTCACTAGAACACCTCTCTCTATCCCATGTATACCATGGGATTATGGTCTCCAAAGTTGAAATGCATCAAATCA